TTCATTTTAGGTAAATGAATGTGAAATATGTTATCATCGTTTAAATAACGTTCCATTTTTAAAGAACAAATCGCACGACTGGAATTAAATATGCACAACGCCTCTGTTTAATTATTTCATATTTTTTTCAATTTCATTCTTTTAAAATGATCAAATAATTGAACAGAATGTTATAACTGCATATCACGTTACCATTTGCCATAAATGCGATACATATGGCAATATTAAAACGGAATGAGATATCGTGACTTTTAAGCTAGTTTTATTATGTATAGAATACGCAACTTCAGAAATTGATTAAATAAATAGGGTTTCAATAAGAATGTTTGATAATTGATAGATCTCAGAAATATATTCCTTAATTTGCATTTTATAGATTAAAATTTATATTCTGTCACGTGTTATTTTTATATTACAATTCACACGCAATACAAATATACTGTCCAATACATTAGGTAAAAGTAATTATGCGAATTTTTTAACTAATGTCGTATTTTTTACTCATTTTTTTATTTTATACTTAGTATGTTCGCTAAACTTCCACAGTCTAGATATAAACTAAGACTATTACCAATAGATAGCCATTTTAGATAGCCTACTGCCAATGGATAGATCAAATACAACATAGTGAAAATACCTGAAGAATTTAAAGACAAGGGTACATTACTTTTAACACATTAACACGTTGAATGCCACGGGGGTCACCGGTGACCGGCACTTAACTTGGCGGTGACGCCATGGGGGCCACCGGTGACCGGCGCGCCTAAATTGATAGGAATATATATAATTTCAAACAAATGTCAATATCTAAAATTTTGTATTATTACCATCGTCGATTCAAACAGTGACTCCTGTCGCAATTAACATGTCAAACATGGTTAAACACTGTAACTTATCTATTGCAGATAATATTTCAACATTATTTGCATCACATAAAAGAAAATTCATCGTGGCACCACGGACAATTTCTATAAAACCGGCGTGGCATTTAACGTGTTAAAACGTTCGAGACAAAACGTAGTAAAACAGTTTTATTCTGCATAAAGAACCGCTATCTAGTTATTAGAATACTCCAATCCAGGGGTGTAACTACTTAGCTGCTTTTTATATTGACTATTGACTAATACTCCGTAATTATTAATCATTCTCCTACTCACATTTTGCCCAACTGTAGCGGTTCCTCTACTATCATAAGACCCATTGAAACCATATAGAAAAGATTTATCAACCTATACTACTGTCTGACCAATAGCTTTTCCTAAGTAGAGATAATATAAGATGTGTTCTCTTTTACAATTCAAATGAGTCGGTGAGCCAGTAGGAGTAGCGGTGTTCTTATTACCATAAGATCTATTGGTATCGCGTAGAAAACATGTGTCAGTCTTTATTATTGTCTGATCAATAGCTCGTTTAAGTAGCAGTAGTATGAAATGTCTAAAGTTCCTACAACAGTGGGAACAGCGGTATCCTCACTACCATAAGGCTCGCTCAAGCTGTACAAAGGAAACATGTCGTCCCATACTACTGTCTGATCACTAGCAGAAACAAGTAGAAGTAGTATAAGATGCATTCCCTTCTACGGCTCAAGCTTGTAGGTACAATGGTGATAATAGCGACGTGAATAGCCAATGTTTTTTGCGCGATCAATTGCTTAGGCTTGCTCTAAATAGCAATGAAGGTATCAACATCTCCGAGCGGGGATCATTCATTTCGGAACCACCGGTACATGCAAAGCGATAGTAAAAGCGCCAAACGTGATGGCACCGAAGCAATCAAAGTTTAAACTGTAACATTCATTATCACGAGGCTCTGTGCGAGCTGACAAGGCTGTCTCGGAGGAGTTAACACGTTCTGAATGACCGTGGCAACTTGAACACAGTGTTGTCAGGAAAATTAACTACGCAAGGCGACGCATGGGCAGGGAGTCCCGCGCAGCGGCGTAGAGCGTCTATCGGGCGAACATTACAATTCTGAACCATCGGACAGAGGCTCTGTGTCATGTTGCCATCGTAGTTCAGAATTACAATTACAACTTCCCGCGCATGCGTCTCGCCTTGCGTTAATTTTTCTGACTGCACTTCTTGAGCCTCGAGATAAAAAATATTGTAAATACAGTAAATTCTCCCTAGTAGACCACCAATGGTCTTGCTGGGATTGTCCCTGTGCTATTTCTACGCCTATATACGCGTTATTGCTACGCCGATGCTAAGGCTCGACGGAGTCAGTCAAGGTTATTTTGACTCGAATTCCGTTTTGACTCCTTTGACTCGAATTCCCGGAATGATAACTCATAATACAATAACACAACTTATTTTACTACCGAACTGTTTTTTTAACATATTACTGGCAGTTTTCTAATTAAAATGAGACCAAACATGATATAGTTTGGACAGATATTTCTGATTACATCAAATAAAATCAATCACGGTGTAATTTAATAAATATAGTCTAAGATATGTCGTGGTTGGTCTCATTTTAATTGGAAGAATCTCTCTAATATGTTACAAAAATTTTCATGTGTAAAAAATTAGAAATAAAAAAGTTAAGGCATCGTTTTTATTCTGGCATTATTGTGTATTTGCATTAATGTATACTGATATGCTGACCGCTAATTCTTAAGTTTGCCGACTGCCCCGATTTTCTCTTCTCTCTCTCTCTCTCTCTCTCTCTCTCTCTCTCTCTCTCTCTCTCTCTCGATTCAAAGAATCGTGACTGAGTTGCCTCGGTTGTCAAAGAAAAAGTTGAAAAGAAAGGAAAGTAAACCGCTATCAGGCAATTAAAATTCTTAATGAAGAATTTATAATTGACGTTTTTGTCGATGGTACATTTCTTCCTGCACATATATTTAACCCTTTGCAGTCGGAGCTCTATTTTAATTCGAAATAGAAAAGATGCTTTCCGATCTGCAGTATTTTTATTTTACACGATTCGGTGCAGTTTATGTATCCGAAATTGTGCCTATTGGCAAGTACAATAATTATAATTTTAACAGTTTTTTAAATACAACAGATCTGATACTGTTACAATTATTGAATGAAAAATGGTATAGCAATTTTTCGTGGCGCCTCAGACTCGCCGCTCGAGTGCAAAGGGTTAATACGTTGGCTGTGGAGAGATGAAAGAGATCTTCGTCAAGGTCGTAAATCAAAGCACAAAAGAAGCGACATCGATTGTTATCGCAGCAGTCAAGACCGTTTTGTTTTGGATTGCGTGAAAAGTGCATTGACACTACCGGGATTAAATTACACACGCGTACACGCATACATTTTCATACGCGTCAAGTAAGATTTACCTGACACGTATGCTTACGCAATAGCTTTCGACGCGTCGCCGTTGAGCAAGGCGCACTTTCGCATGGCCTTGACTTGGCGTTCCAGGTCCTTATCTCGCATACGTCTGACTCTCCTAAGCTGCTGTTTCGGGAATCGAATCTTGCGTATTTGAACACTCGCCTGGTTCTGTTGGCTGAAATCGAGCCTCGAGATAACGAAAGTCATAATTGAAGTTCTACGAATCGATATCAAAATCGATTCCGAGGCTGTTGTTTCGATATCTCGTGCTCGGCTTCGCTGCGCGGCGCCTCTCATACTGTCTCACGCTAGATATTTTCACGATCGCTTTGAATCCACCGCGCGACGATCGCGATCCAATAGGCGGCCATCCATTCCGAACTCATCGATCGGTTTGCTCGGCGGACATGACTAATGAAAAACTCGCGAGTCACTCTCGCTCTCGGCAGTAAAACTGTTTACTCGTGAGCATATGTTAACACTTTATCGACCGCTAGCCTATTTATCGGCTTTTCGATTGCCAATGTTTATCGATCGCTAGCCTATCAATCGGCTTTTCGATTGCCAATGCTTATCGACCGATAGCCTATTAATCGACTTTTAGCTATCGACGGTTTTCGCTTCTTTACTGTTTTGTTAGTAGCTGACCTCCTGTATGCTGACCTCCCCATATCCTTATGAATTATAATTATAATAATTATTATTATTTATTATTATTTTTAAAGGAATAAGCACAACACAATGAATAGCGAAAATTTAGCCGGTACTGGGAGCAAATGCGCGCGCGACTAAGCCAGTCCTTACCGAGTGGCAGCCTCAACCACGACCGGACGATAAAGTGTTAACCACGAGTGCTCGACTATGCGCGTCAAATGTATCAAAGAGTGATTCTACGCGATCATCGAAAATGCTATGTTCTAATGGGACACACGTCGCATAGTGACAATATCGCAGAATGCGGTTCGTTCGTTTCTTCTTCCGTTGGTCGTCCTGGCAGGACACGGGACACTCCCCGATCCATTAATAGCGTTTTTCTCGGTCGCGAACGTAGAGCTCCGGTATCGACGGCTTTAAACGGATCATTCATGATTTAAAGGTAAGAGCCGCGATTCTCGGTAGCGTTCGTTTGTCTCGTAACACCGCGGCTCGGAATATTTGACACAGTGCGATCGAGTGGCGGTGTATAGACATGGAGAAACCAATAAGTCGGCCATTGCTCGTGACGAGAATAGATACGAATCGGTCTGACATTCCTCCGGTCGGTTAGCCGGCCGTCTCCGCTCTCTGGGTTGGTTCGATTGAAAAATGCTGGCGGAGAGAACTGATAAATCGGTGATGTCATAGCGCTGGCAGCATCGGGGCTGGCGTAACCCAGTGGTCCCAAACGAGGTTGTAGCACGCGCGTAATGGAGAAGCGTCGTGCGTTGATGTCCTCGAACTCGGTGACCGTACGTCCGTCGCTGGATACTGTCTCCGTCTTACTCTCTCTCGGCTCGGCTCGCACTCTGTTACTCTCCCGGATTCCCTGTTACCCTCCCGCACGTCCTCGTCCCGGTCTGTCTCTGTTAGTTACCGTGGCGCTCGCTCGCCCGTGTTCCCGTTCTCTCGCTCTATCCTCCATGCCCCCGCCTCCGTGGCATGCCAACCAACGAGCCGGGGCCGCTTTCGCTTTGTGCGCGCCGGGGCGGCGGTACATCAAAGCCTTCTAGTTCCCGCTCCGGCCTTTGACGGCTGCGTCGCGGCCGTTCGCTCAGTCATCGCTCGGTAGGCGAAGCCGGCACGCCGTGGATGAGCGGTCGCGCGCGCGCGAAAGCTCGCCGAATCCTGAGGATTCGTAAATTCGGCCCTCTGGACGGGCGGAAAGAGGAGGCACCTCGACGGAAACCCTCGGTTTCCGGCCGATCCGTCAAGGACAATGTCTCCCCGCGGCGGCAAGTGTACGCGTGTCAACAAACTGGCTGGCAAAGGTGGGCGCGCGCTTCGCGGCCATCAACAACATCATCATCATCATCATCATCATCGGTATCGATCCTCCTCGAACGAGCCGTCGGCGGAACCGGTGAAGGAAACGACGGGCATCGGCCTGTCCAGCAAACCCAGCACGAAAACGACGACGACCACGACCACGACGAGAACAGCCAATAAGTCTGCGGTGGCGGCGTGCGAGGGTCGATCGCCGTGGGCGGCGCGCATGCGCCAGTCCCTGGAGAATGGCCTCGAGCCCCATGAAAACGGCACCCTGGCGCAAAGATGCTCGGCGAGACGGCACCGCGATCAGATCGACGCCACCAACGAGGCCAACAACGATCGACTCGACGAGACGACCCACGGAGATGGTACTGTATCCTCGTCGACGCCTTTGTCTTCGCCGGCGCTCTCCTCCTCCACGGACGTATCCTTCAGGTGCTCCACCTCCCCTCCATCGACCGTTTCCTCGCCGACGCGCTCGACTTCTTCGACTTCCGCGTCCGCGGTCTCCCACGAGAAACCGTCCGAGAGCCACAGGCCTGACAACAAATCGGTGGACTCGGGTCGGCACAGTGAACAGGATCGGATCCGAAAGCGGAAGCAGGAGAGACAGTGTGCCACGAGGTCACGGGATAGCAGAGGCTCGCCGGAGAAGTCCTCCGTCGTGACCACGACGACGATCTGTGCACCATCGTCCGCGATATCCTGCTCTTCGCCGTTCTCCTCCTCCGTGTCCACCACGTCCGAAAAGGTGAACGAGCAGCTCGCACATGTCAACGCGAGAAGCTGCCCGTCCTCGCAGGCGTCGGCCGTAGAGGCTCTCCGCAGTGTCCTAGAAAGCTACAGCCGTAACAGAATCTACCTTGCACATGTGTCTTTCTTGGATTGGCGGGACTTGCCGGGACGGCGGCGCGCCACCGTCGCCACAGCTGGCAACGCCGAGAGAGTGTGGGTGGTGGGGGCGGCTGATCACGAAGGACACCACAGAACGCGACTGTTGGTAACTGGTCGTCACTGGCGACCGCGTTGCCTCACACGAGTAAATATGTTGAGCCAACCGGTTATCTACGCTGGCGGCGGAAGAGGCTCCCTCACCGTCGATCTTTTCTTATGGTGGTTCCACAAGGAATTCGCGGTGACAGCCATGGCGATGCATCCGGACGGCGCGGTGCTGGTCGCCGAGACCGCCGATTACCTGCCGCCCGAAGCCGACTGCGTCGCGGCCGACGGTTTGGTCAGGTTGTTCGTGGTACCCAAGGACTGCCTGGAAACGGGGATCGTCGTGAAGGAGATGAGAGTCAGATTAGCTACCGGTGTACTTTCCAGAGCCTCCTACGGCGTCCACCAGAACACGGCGTCCGCGGAAGACGATGCTTTGAACGTCTTCCTCAGGAGGTTCACCCTGAAGGAAGCTTTCGCCGATCTCCACAGAGCCTGGCTGAGCGTGAGGTCGGAAACGTTCGCCAGGAGTTGGATCCCCGCTCACGAGGACAACTCGGTCGGATGCTCGAACCCTGGGCCGAGTTTGTCCTCCAGGGTACAGGTGTCAGCTGATCACGAGGAGGACAGGATTCTGCTGATCGAGTTGCAGAGTTTAGCCAGGGAAGTGGGTCTGGAGGTCAGCGACGAGGAGCTGAGCAAGTGGATCCTCGACGAGGAGAGCGAGCTGGCGCGTTGCGTAAGGAAGAAGGAGCTCGAGGAGGATCATTGCCGCGTAAAGATCGAAGCCGAGGAGAGGTGGACCGATTATGGGGAGGAAGACGCCCAGGAGGATGAGGAGGAGGAGACACCCGAAGACGAGCCCACCGCGGAAGAGGCGGTCGGTCTGCTGTCGAGGGTGCTGACTTGGATGGAAAGGGAGCCTCTCGATCCAGGACTATTACTCGCCGTCAGATCGATGCGCGATACCGCCGCACTCATGGTAAGCACCGACTGATAAGAGACAACCACTCGAGCTATCGATCGTTGCACCGACGACGCAACCGTATAGAAGAGGAAGCAGGAAAGGGTAATAGTGGGACGCGGAGGGGCGCGGACCGACCGATCTTGTAAGCTCGCGGCCAGATTGAACTAATTCCATCGACTGTCGCTCGACTATCCGCGACTCGCCGCGACTCTCCTTCTCCTGAGAAAGGCGGAAAGGGTCGAAGGGACGCGCGACGGGTCGTGCGAGAACGCTCGAGGGTCACTTGAATTCGGCGATACCCGCGTCGTCGAGCCGGTCGTCGAGCCGGTCGTCGGAAAAGCCGAACGAACCCTCGAACTGCTCGAGGAGCACGCGCCCGTCTTTGCAAATTAATGCTCGAGCTCGTCCTCGATAAGCGCTCCCCCTTCGAGGGTTTATTGAATTGTATAATATATTTCCTCTGAGGGCTTTTTAGCCCGGTGGGTCCTGCCTCTTGGCTGAGGCCAGAGACCGGATGGAAATGAGGCTAATGTCTATGTTAAACAGCAGGGATACGGAATGGTACTCGACGCTATCAAAGAACTCGATACCGATATCTCGATCGTTAAATCCGAGTGATCATTGTCTCTCTGTCTGCTCGCTGAACTAAAATAATTTTCCTATTGTATCCACCGCGTCACGCTAATAGACGCTGTTTCGATTGGGACAAGTGAAATTTTGCATCGGGCGGGAATGTTGCCTAACCAAATAACCTATGGTTGAACGTGATCATCATCATATCAGTTGCTGAGCCATTTTGACAACCTGCTTTGATATGTGATCAATCGGAACAAACATGAAGGATTTCTGAAAGTTAATCCTGAACGCTTTATGGTTCGAAGCAGTTTTCATCTCTCATTCGAAAACCAGCGCGAAAGTTACACTGAAGTATGTTATTGAACGATATATTTCCAACATTTATACATATACAGGGTGTTCGAAAAATTGTGGTACTACTACATGCAAAAATAAGTCGGGAAAGAGGGATAACATTTTTATTTTTATTTAAAGTTCCGTTTTCAAGAAAACTGAGTCGAAAGATGCGTCAAATTCGCGTGGCTTGTAATATAACGAGAAGTAGAATTGATATACCATGACCAGACGCGCCAGTTGATTCCTATTCAATAGTATTACTTTTTCAATCTAATTTTCCTCAAAAACGTAAACCTTAAATTAAAAAATGTTATTCCTCTCTCTCGACTTATCGTTGCATGTAGAATCACCCCCTTACCGGTTGTGCCACGATTTTCCGAACACCCTGTGTTAGGACATTTAGTATGAAATGCATACGTTACTCTATAATTTCACTATAAAATCTATGCATTTCATACCGAATGATCTAATAACATAAAGTTATGTACAAATGTTTTGTACTTGGATCAGGAAAAAAGAGAAAGATGCGCGTAACAAATGTGGAAAGGCTGATTTTACATAAAGACATAAGTCGAAAATATTGTATCAAATTTGTACGTTTGAGGCTTTGTTTTAGAGAAAATTAGATTTGGAGAATGCCAAGTTCACGCGTGTAGGTCATAATCAGACGGGGGGCCGAACAGCGTGTATGTTCGTCTAATTTTTTTAATTGTGTTTTACTGGTCTATGGATTTGATGTACTTTTAGCAGAAATTAAAGGATTGCAAAAATTTTGGTATGTACATTTTAAAATTTTAAAAATGATCGAAGGGAGAAAGATCCTGTTAGATCCACAATAACAATATAGCTGCTATTATTATTACACACTTTCAATATACTTGCTGCCTATTTCATACATATATTACTTGCGCATGCTTTTATATTTGTGCATATGAATATTTGCACAAATATAATTTATGATATAAATTACCAGTAGAGTCTAATTATAGCCGTTCAAGTGTCTCAAGTCTTTCCTTTTGGAAAACAGGCTATAATACAATCGAATGTAATTAATGAATAGGCAGAATGAAAGTGCTATATAATCTTAAATAATTACCTAATAATCTCAGACACACGGTTCCAGTATACAATATTACTTAAGTATCTTTCGAAAACTAACATCGAAATGTTTCCTTACTCAAATTACAATTATATATTTCTGTAGAATTATAAATGCCGATATTCTTCATATATGACTAGACCGAGAAAATGAAATTTGAAGCAACAGAATTAAAAGATAGATCCGTTGTCTACTAATTTACATGTTGATAAATCTTGGAAAAGGTGTGATTATAGCTTAAGAAAGCCCGCTTATTTGGGCAATAATTCTAATGGAAATATTATCTGGTTGCTTCTCAGACAGCTATCGCGCGAGTACGCGGCGCCCTCTGAATTAGAGGCGGTTTTATAACGACGTCGCTATCGATCAGCCGACAGAAGGAAAATATTAATTCGTGTCACGCAAACACCTATCGGCGCCGCCACGCTGGAAGGCTTCCGGATCATTGGTTAATTAATTGATAATTCTCGGTGGACTGCTAATTAGCTGGCCACATTAACGGACCATTAATAAACGTATTATTAATTACTTAATAACGATAGTGCTACGCCTATCACGCGACACGCGCTGCCCTACGCAATCTACTTACGAATTACAATTATTAAAATTGTCTCAATTAACTCGGTTATTTTTATGCCAACGTTGGACGCGCTAATGCTCGATCTAATTTCTGTTGCAGGCAAGCAAGATGGGCCTGGCAGGGACACATCCAAGCGGGCTGCCATTCTTCTGCCCAAACGGGGACCATCTAACTCAACCACCACCTGCCCATATGGGAATACCACCGTACGGGACATTGGATGCGGGCAAAGCGGCCGCAGCGGCCGGTGAGTACTGGTCATCAGCCACCCCTGGACAACCACCCACCCACCCCGAACACTGGAAACGTCTTCTAGCTGCGGCAGCCTCCACAGGTTAGCTCCTCCCCGAGGTTCCTCGATTGGTCCTTGATCCTGTGATGTAACCTTCCTGCTCCTTGGAAATCCCCTTCCTCGTTAAGTCACAAGGATGGAGGACACTTGGTCTACAATCTTTTGGGGGAAAAACGTGCCTCTTTCTGAAATATCTTCTTTTCAAATGTCGTTTACCATTAATTAATTAGACCATAACCCGTTATAAAAGTATCACGTATTCGAAATTGGCGGAGACTTTCGTCGTTTCTATTTGAATTTGTCTGTTTTGAGTCTCCGTTTTGATCAACTGCCTGTAGTGATTCGAATGAACGTTTCGTTGGTTGTGCATTTATACTTGGACTTAAATACTGTTATTTCACTATCTCTCGTTTCCGACATTTGAAATTTTCACGTGACTTTCTAAACATATACGTTGCGAACAAATTGATAAATGTAATTATAAATGTTCCTACGCGTACTCGATTATATTTACGTTGAAAGAGCTCGCCGATCGATTAGAACATGAACATGAACATTTTGGTTCATGGATTAAATAAAAATTTCTTCCGTTTTTTTTTTTTTTTAATAATTGTAATAAATTGAGAACAATATATATAGATTTAAAAAAGAATTTTTATTTCTCTACTATTTTTGATTACGTACATTTTTTGTCATAAATGTACTCAATCCACAGTCTAATCATATGTCTAATCAGTATACAAATAAAATGGTCAATTAGCATTATGAAAGATTTTCTCATGTACAAAGTTAATTTTTTAAGTGGTTGCTTCAAAACGAATGTATACTAATGATACTACTCACGTTAATTTAATTATACAATATGTAAATCTAATGATCGACGATTTTGTCAAAAGAAGCACGTTTTTCAGTGGTATAAGGGTTTTGATGGTAATTTATGACACTTTTGTATACACAATTTGGCTCTACAAATGGTGGTAGTAGCTAAGGTGGAGGTTGCTCTCGCGTTTCCTGTGTTAAATCAACTTTAACATGTTTCCTTTTTGCGTATGCAATACACTTTCTGAGACTGCGCTCGATGAACAAAATAAAAGAAGTTAATCGTTCTTCAATTAAATCAAATAACTGATTCGAATTCTGTCTTACCATTAATACTATAAACCAGTGGAACCTACTACGTTAACAGCAATCTCGAAATCTGGTGACACAAATTCGCAACCGCGCGTGTATTTGATAAAACAACGAAACGAAATAATCGGTCAAAATAAAATTACGGGTGCACTCGAATATTTTTACAAGTACCCCGATCGTTTTCACATTTTTTAATCGCCCGCCCATTTTATTAGATGCAAATGTTAATTGATCCCGGAATAAATCTTAAACAGTGGAATTCATTGGTGTTCACAGTAACCATTACGTGGGTTGCCATTCACACGCCAATTATTATAATTGCTCTAAGGTCCATAGTACGAAACTTCCTGCGAAAGATACATGCAATACGTTTCGCTGCCGATATCGTTTGAATCAATAATTCGTTCACGAACTTGAGCCGCTAGTGTCGACGCAAATATTGACAACCCTCTCGAATTGTAATTGATGGAATACTTCTGGTCTCTTTTCGTATCGTTTCAGTGTACCGATCCGCACAAATATCAACACACCCGTCATATTTTATACGAGCTAAATAAACACATTTTGTCTGCGGCTACATACAGCGAAACAACGCAACGACCCACTGCGGAACATTGCATTAACCCTCGCAGTACCAGCGGTTGGTCGTTCATGCTCAATGATTGGGTCCAAACAGGCCCATGACCTTACGCATATAAACATTTTGAACTAAAATTTTGTTATTATTGCCATCATTATTTTTATTACTATTCTTATTACTATCATCTTACCGTACTTTTTTTTAACAAACGTCAAGGCAGGCCTCGAGCTCTGGGTCCGAAAAAAACCGGGCGTGGTACGACGAGGGTTAATTTATCTCTATGAGATACCACGATACTTATGAAACTAATGTTAGGTAAAGTAAATTGTAAATTGCTTTCAGTTTGATTTGACGATCAAAGTTTCTTTTTTAATTTTGATTATATAGACCGATCGATTAAAATAATGGAACATACTTTTCTTGCTCGTATATCTATTTTATGATTTTTTATATTTTATAGTTCGAAAACATTGTCTAAATTAATTAAGCACAATATTTGATGCTAGACATTATAATTACATACTTAAAAAAATGAAATGTTTGATTGGAAATGACTGAGTAATCTTATCGCGTATAATATTAATATTTTGTACTAGTCATTTACACGAAGTAATAATTTCATTAACAAATACGATAGATCTCGAAGGAGGGTAATTTCGCATATATCATGGAATTTTTGTAAGAACACACGGTTTTCAATCGTTTCTATTTTAACATTAAAAACTTTATTGACATATTCACGCAATAACCTGATACAATTGTCTTACTTTCGGTAGAGCCGTCGCTCTCAAGGATGTTCTTAAAAATTCTTGAACTGTGAGATCGAGCGTCTCGTGTCAAGAGCTAGCCTCGCGCGCAGCCACCCTCTTGGTTCGCAACGCATCCTCGAGTAAATAATACGAGTTGCTGTGCTCTCTCAGCAGATTCGTGAATTGTCATTCGGAAAATAGCAATTGATCCAACGTAACAGTTGCAGTATAAGCCGTGTTAATCCCTAGCTCGCCAGTTTCCGCGTTGCTCGAATATCCTGGGTTCGAGGGTTGAGCTTAGCTGTGCCATCTTCTTAGTCCGCCGTACAGCCTCCGGTAAGAGTTTCCATTGACCGTGCTCTCGCGGCGAATTAAAAAAGAGTCCTCGGTCCGTTGTTGGTAGCCGTGCAAACATTGATATTTCAGCGGGCTCCTAATTGAAGGAATATTTCTTATCGAGTCAAGGGTCTGAGCCGAGAGAGAGAGAGAGAGAGAGAGAGAGAGAGAGAGAGAGAGATGCCGCGGCTCGAACGAGGGATGTGAAGAGGCCGAGGAGTCCCCAGAGGGTAAAATACAGGGAAAATGAAGGAGAGAGAGAAAGTGAGGAGAGAGCCGGAGAGAGAAAGGCGGAGTGGGAGGGGGGTAGACAAGAAGAGGGGAAGAGAACGAGAGAGAGAGCGGAAGTGGCGGTGGGATAAGAGAGAGAAGAGAGGCTCGCGAACTGGCGTCAAGTAGGAGAATAAGAGGAGGACTCACCATTAGGCTAATCAGCCAGGCATGCAGCCTCCCTCTGGCGCCGGGTCAAGGGGGTTTCAACCTGCCTCTCTATTTCTACAGCTTCTCTCCTTCCTACCCTCGTTGCACACGCCTCCCAGACCGCCCCCCACCCTGCAGAGAGAATCCGTAACTATGATCTTTGTAGTCGGTGTGGATTAACAATCAGTGACCGATGGGTTTCTCCTATATGAACGCGATACGTGTCACGAGAGCCTTATGCCACTTCCAATCTAGAGCTGTACAGTAATTAAGAGTACAACTATGAGAGATGATAATTCAGTAGCTACATTCTAGAATTCAGTTTTGAAAAGATGATTCTTTTCTCCTAGAAAAATTCCTGTGATAATTCTTTTAATGCTTGCCTCTGTGAATAATTTGGATAACTTCAAGTAAGATCATCGAATGTGTGGTGGAACTGTTATGTTCGTATCGTACAGTTTCACCGAATCTTAAAGAAATTCACGTTTCCTTTTCAAAGGTTCCGCAGTCTGTTTACATTCTTCAATCTGGTCACGCCGAGACTAATCCGCGGCACCGACTTCTTTCACAGATCGTCAACAGTCGGTTTCTCCGATAGCAACAAAAGACTGCTCGGCTTCGATGACCGCTATCCCCATCGACGCGGTTCCAAAGATGTCTGCCGTTTCCGGCGTCGATAACACTAATTACGGTCCATTAATCCGCCCACGAAGGTTCTCACAATAAAATCCTTGAAACTGAAGAATTCTAATTTAGTTCGGGTAGTGTCCTCCTCCTCCTCGTCGTCGTCGTCGTCGTCGTCGTCGTCGTCGGAGCTACTTCTCGGAGGGCTCCGGATATCTTTTCACCTCGACGGAGTCACGGCCATGGAGGAAAGTGAGAGAGAGAGAGAGAGAGAGAGAGAGAGAGAGAGGAGGGGGGAGAGGGCGGGCGAGAGGACGAGGAGTTGGGACGTATTTGCGCGCGCGCTATCTTTCTCTCCTCTCGTTCTGCCTCGGGCCTGCCGCCCTCGTCCCCTTCATCGCCTCTGTCCCTAGAATATGTAGATGGGGTTGATAGCGTTTATGCACAACTACGAGTTCGTACGGCGGCTCGGGTTCTTTGTCTTGCAAACGAGCGAGCATTTTACCCCCACCGGATTCGCGGACCCTCCGGCTTCCTTCCTCCACCCCCGTGTGGCTCGAGTTCACCCTCGCTCCGTTCCTCCATCGCTCTCAGAACGACGGTGTTCCCTGTCTTCCCGTCCTCTGCACCCCGTTCCGCCTAGAGAGCAGCCGCCACCTCTGACTTCCATCCCTCTCTCGTTCAGGTCTCCGTTAACCACCCTCCTCGCGTCCCCCGTCTATTCATCTTCCTCCATCTTTCTCCTTTCGTTACAACGTCCGTCTCTCTTGCTCTCCCAGCTCGCGATTCCCTGTCCCTCTCTCGCTCTGAGTTTCCACGGTGGTTCCAGCTCCCTCGTGTCTACTCGGCCACCCCACCCCCGGCGCACGGGTCTCCTGCTTCCACGAATATATTTCTAATTAGCTCCACTTTTCGATCTCCGTCGCGTGTTTATTTCAGGATTCCGTGGAAGAGCAGACGCGAGAAGGGAGGGTAAGGGAGCGAGGGCCCGGGAGGGATGACGATTCCCGGCGAAACGCCGGGACTCCGCCATTGATCCGCTTAATTTTTCTCTTCTCTAGTCATCCAACCCCCCGCGCCGCAGCCCCCGGCGATCTTCTTTTTTCTACCGCGATTATGAGGCGTTCTTCCTTCTCGCCGATTTTCCTGCAGTAATCCTCCATCTCCTGCTTGGTTCCTCTCGCCTGGTCTCAGCGTTGTCG